TATATTATTAATTAGCTCCTCTGACCTACCTTTCCCTACATTATTAGCCTCTACATGCACCACAAAAACTGCATCTCTTCTAGCTCCCTTTGTTATATCTCTTGCTCTGTCAGTTATATCCTCCACCAGTGCCCCTGGATAGTATAATCTGATTCTTTTCTCCCTATTTACCCCACAGACTATTCTATCCACATGCCTTATCAAGGAATCACCTATAACTATAACCTCCTTATCATCCACATCCTTCCCCGACCCTTTTGTTTTCTTCCACTCCAACAGTTCCCCATCTGCAGAAGCCAAGGGCTGAAATTTGTTGCTCAATAGTATAGGCTCATTATAACTAAATTCACCACTTTTAGCCCTAACAGTACTCTTTTTCAAATGAATCTAAGAGGTTTTGTGTGTTAATAATAGAAATATAATGTCCTTGTGTGAGAAATACTCCCCCAGAAGACAAAATCTCATGTACAGGAAGAAAAAGGAGCATGGAAGCCTTGGAAACAAGAAATTCCATATCTCAAAAATGTAAAGGAGGAGGGTGAGCCCACCCAGCAAATGAAGTAATAAATAACCCCAAATTAATCACATACTAACTCAGAAACATGCCCAGAGCCAACCCAAAAGAGCAGACTCTCAAAGAAGAAGGGAGTCATAGCAGATGATGACTCTTAGGAAAGGGGTGGAAGTTGCCAAACATCCATATAGTTATAAAAATGCATACCAATTGAGCGCAGTCTTTGTGAGAAGGCCCTCAGAACATAGTGGAAAACAGGCAGGTGTCAGCCTTGAATGACAAAGAAAGATCTTAAGAGAAACTCTGTGGGACCCAAAGGTCTCCTACAGGTGTACAAAGTATAAGACCAAGCTGAGGGTTGATTCCAGAAACAACTAATCATAGAGCCCCAAAATGGCTGGACTTTTAGGAAGGGAAACACCAGGAAGGGGCCTCAGGATAAGGAACTTCCCAAATGGCCTGCATTAACTCTTTCAGCATGGGCTTGGTCCCTGGAACCGACCTCGTGACCACTTTGTGCTTGTTATAGTTTTCATGCTCCAACTTTTAAATTTGTAAGCGAATGTTAACGAAATCTGGTAGATTATCAGTAAATATTACAATGTTTTCATACGCAAAATATAAATTTTTTTTTAAGTCTTAAGGTTTGCAAAGCAATGTTTTTCTCATGTCTTTTTTTTTTCTTTTCACATGTTACCTATCTATCATGCAAAGTAATATTCATTTTAAGATTAAAAATACTTTCATGCATCAGAAAATTCTGAAATTTAAAATGCGAAATCTTTATAATGTCGAGATATTTATTAAACATTTCTTAAGAAAAAACTTTATATTTTATCTGTTATTTTCAGTAATTAATCTCTGTACGGGTTCAGTAGATTTGACTGATCTGGCAACCACCACAAAAAATTTGGAAATAAATATAAATTATGCCTCTTTCATTCTAGAATGAACACAAATTTTAACACAAAAACATAAATGTTTAGACTAAATAGCTTATATCTCATAACATTATACATTTATATATATTTATTATACTGACCTTTCAGCCGTGCCTGGCTAACAATACAGAAGTTACAATGCTGCGGCTCACATGCACTCATGTTACCATATCAAATAACATAAAACTGACCTTTGGTCTGTGCAAAGTAACTTGTCTTGGCTGTGTTTTAGTAGACTAGCATTTTGTAAAATACAGTCAAATTTCAATTATTATTCATTATATATGTTTATAGATTATTGCTATTTTGATATAAGCTTTTAAACTTATTTTTCTTAAACATAGAACAGTAACTAAAGAAGTAAAGCAAACAATTATCTCTCCTAGTTACGACCTTTGTACTTGGTTGCTGTTTGATGTAGGTTGCTAAGCCTTTAAAAAAATTGCACATGGAGGATATGAAACAAAATATTTTT